GGCAAGTGCTCTACCACTGACCTTCACCCCTAGCCCTGTCTTTTTTAAAAAAACTTATATCATTTTCTTGGTACATTACAGTTTTACATAATTGTGGCATTCATTTTGACATATTCATAAATGCATATAACAAAATTTGCTCCATTTCAATCCCCAGTGTCAACCCTGTCTTATCTTACCACTGCTGCACCTGGCTCAGGGGGCAGCTCCATCATCTCTAGGATGCTTGGCTCTCTGCCACTTTATTTAAATTTCTTAAATGCTTGTGATCTCCAGGGCTCCATTCTTTTTTTTTTTTTTTAGAGCGAGAGAGAGAATTTTAATATTTATCTTTAAGTTTTCGGCGGACACAACATCTTTGTTTGTATGTGGTGCTAAGGATCGAACCCGGCCCGCACACATGCCAGGCGAGTGCGCTACCACTTGGGCCACATCCCCAGCCCAAGGGCTGCATTCTTAGTTCTCTTCTCATTCATTATCTCATTCTTGATCTTGGCTTCAGTGGCCCCCTATGTATTAAAGACACTCACATCTGTATCTCCAAGTCAGACCTTTTTTACTGAATGGAATGCTTATATATCCAAGTGACTACTAGACATCTCTACATAGATGTTCCACAGGTATCTCAAACCCAGCATATCCACAGTGGCTCTCATCTTCATCTCCTGACCCAACCTGGGTCCTCCCTATGCTCCCAGTTTCGGTGAATGCCACTGAATGAAGATAGCAGGCAGTCAGGGTAATGGGCCTCATTCAACCACACCAGGAAGCTAATCAATAAAGACAATAGTAGACACTATAGAGGCCTTCTTCACATGTAAAATCTATGACGCTCACCTGTGGGAACAACTCAGAAAGTGGAGGTGAACCCGATTAAAACTCAAAGGCAATATAACCTTGGTGTGTTTTCAATGCCTGTTTTATGTAGATTTTGATGGATGCTCATATCCCAAACCTATATAAACCCCTGAGCTAGCACAGCAAAATGATATCCTGCTTCCAGGTCCCCTCCTTCATCGTGAGGGTTCTGTCTTTTCTCAAATAACTTCTCCTCAATTTGTTCTTCTCTTCTGTGATTGTCTGTGGATTTTATTCTTCAAATTTGCAAGACAAATTGAAGAAGAACCCAGAAGGGAATTGGCACCGAGTTACTGGGGTTTGCTGCACCACACCACTCAACAGTGACGGAAAACTCCAGCTTTACCAGGTACAACCCTCAGGGCTGACCTGGTAGCTGTCTCCTGTCCTGTGTAGCTGCTAACACTAAAGCGGGTGGTTGCTGCTGCAGAGATGGGCCACTAGCACAAACCCCATCCCCAATAGAAGCGCAGAATCTGGCCTCATCTCAAAACTCCAGTTTTACCACCACCATGTATCCAGTCACTCCATCCAGAAAAGAAGATTGTTCCTAGCATGATCCCTGCTACTTATCTCCTGCTTCCCAACACTTTCCAGGTCCTGTTGATCCTGCTTATTTAAGGCTTCTCAGATTCCCCCTCTCCTCCACTGCACCCCCAATGCCCTAGTTAGGCTTTGAATCCATATAACTCAAATTTCTGCAACAGCCTCTTCCTCAATCTCCCTACCTCAATACTCTGGAACCTCTGCTGCCAAAGCAGTGTTTCTATTCTTCCTGCCCTTATGGCACTGGGGATTGAACCTAGGAGTGCTCTACCACTGAACTATACTCCCAGTCCTTTTGATTTCTTATTTTGAGATAGGGTCTTGGTAAGTTGCCAAGGCTGGCTTTGAACCTGCAATCCTCCTGCCTCAGCCTCCTGAGTAGCTAGGATTACAGGCATGTGCACGGTTAGAGAGCAATGTTTCTTAGAGATAATTTGGATCATCATGCTCCGCTTCAAAATGTCCCAGTGACTTCCTATTGCCTTCAGATTTAAATAAAACCTTCTTTTGTTGGCACCTCTCTCACCTGACTCCAGTCTGCCTGGCTTCATCACCTACCCTTCATCTAGCACTTGATATTCCAGCACAACTGATCTATGTGAAATGCATTGAACTTGCTTCATTCTTCCATGTCTAAAGGCCTCCTTCGTACATGTCCCTCTCTTTGGAAAGCTACCTGTTACTCTCTGGTACTTTTCCCTCCCCCACCCATCAGTGGAGCTTCAAGTGTCTTTACCAACTCTCCTGACTCTCTGAGGCTGACATAGGCCTTCATGGTTTGCCTCCTCTTTACAAACATCCTTTGGATCTATTGCACCCTCCCTTTCCATGTCTTTCTACCAGGCTGAGTTCCTTGAAGCTAACAATTCCATCCTGTCATTCCAGTACTTGGCACAGGGTTCAGCATGTGGCTGTCACTCAGTAAGTGCGTGTTGGATGAATGAGTCAATGAGGTGTGAGTAGGTAGCAGCAGGAGAACAGGGAATGAGAGGCGTGAATGGAGACAGAAGGCACATTCTCTTGTCTCACAGTTTTGTTCTGGCTATACACCCTGTCTCTTGGTTCTGACAGGCTCATATTATCTCAGTACAATCAGCTTTTGCCTGGAGATCTGGGGGTGTCTTTGCTGTCTTCTCTTTTGTGAATGTATGTGGTGCTGGGGATAGAACCTAAAGGCCTCACACATGCTATGCAAGCGCCCTACCACTGACCTACACCCCCAGCCCATGACTGTGATCTCTTAACTTCTCTGCATTAGGATAAGAATGCCAATGGACCAGAGTCTGGAAGCTCTGTCTTGTTTCCAGGGCCAGGCATATAAGACCCTTGCTCAACTGCTCCATAATGATTCTCATCTGTGTCTATGGACACTATGGGTCTCTAAAAGACAGGGTCCTCCACCTAAACCCTCTGCTGACTGACTTATAAAGCAGGGAAAGATGATCTTGACAGTGCCTCACTACTGCTTCTGTAATAAACAGCAGCATTTACCACCCTGGCTGCAGGAATCCTGTAGGATTAATGTCCTCAGCCTTTGGGCTAGCTGGGCTGTCTGGGGCAGTTCTAGTCACAAGAAGACACTTCTTTTTATTCCTGGTTTTGGGGATCCAACCTAGGGCTGGGCACATGCTAGACAAGCTCTCTACCACTGAGCTACACCACCAGCCCCGGGGTCTGTCTTTATCATTGTTTTACAGGTAGGGTAATCAAGGTGCAGTGAGGTCAAGAGACTGATCTACTCAGGACTGTCAGACAAATCAGGCTGAGCAGGGAGGGCTAGAGGCCTGTGCCCTCTAAGGCTGGCCAGCAGCAGTGCATTTACACATTGCCCACAAGAGGTCAGTCAGCTCCACAGGAACAGAGGAGTACAAGGTAGAGCTGGTCCTCCGCCATAGCCGTCTAGGTCCTGGTTGCACAGTAGCTCCCTAAAAGGACATCCTTCTACCACCAGGACCTCTGAGAAGTGCTTCTAACAGTGACATGTTGTAGATGGCTAAAGATGTGCTCAGCCCAGGAAGGCTACGAAGTGCCTAGGGGCAGCTACCTTATCGTATTGCAATCCTCAGGATATAATGAGCTTTGTGGAGGACTGTAGCTATCTCCACAGTAATAACTGAAACCAGAAATATCACAAAGCTGTATATGCTAGGCCAGAACTGTCCTGGATGAGGGAGGTTGAGGATGAGGGAGACTTGAAGAGCCTTATATAAAGCATCCCTAGGTTTTAGAATCAGACGGACTTGGGTTTGGATCCTGATATTCATTCCCTCCCCCCACCCTCTCTTTCTCTCTCTCTGGTAACAAGGATTGGACCCAGAGTCACTTAACACTTAGCCACATCCCCAGCCCTTTTGAGACAGTCTTACTCAGTTGCTTAGGGCCTCGCTAAATTGCTGAGGCTGTCCTCAAATTTGTAATCTCCTTCCTCAGCCTCTGGAGCTTCTGGGATTACAGGCATGTGCCAATGTTCCCAACCTAATTCTTTCTCTTATTAACTGTGATCTCAAGCAAATTACTTAACTACCCTATGCCTTCCTTAGTCTCTGTTGTGGTTTGGTTATGAGGTATCCCCCAAAAGCTCCTATTAATCCATGAATATTCAGAGATGAAATGATTAGATTATAAGAGCCAGAAACCTAACCAGTCTGTCCTAATTTGAGTGGATTGGGTGGTAACTGCATACAGGTAGGGTATGGCTGGAGGAGGTAGTCACTAGGGACGTGCCCTAGAAGGGTACATCTTCCCTGTGGCCCCTTACCCCATTTCCTGACCCTGCCATGAGTTGAGCAGCTTTTTCCACAGGACCTTTCACCATGATGTGCTGTCTCCCTTCTGGACCCAGAGCAATGGAATTAGCCATTTATGGACTGAGACCTCTGAAACTGTGAGCCGCAAATAAACTTTTCTAAATTGTTCTTGTTAGGTGTTTTGGTCACAGTGATAAAAAAGCTGACTAAAACAGTCTCCTGATTGTTAGAACAAGGAATAATAATACCTGCTTTTTAGATTGTTCCAAAGATTTATTTATTCATTCCTTTTATAAATAGTCGTGTGCCTATCCTAGATACACACACTACTAGGTTCAAGGGACGCACTGATTAGATTTAAAACTTGTCACCTAGTACGTGCTGAATTAATAACTTCTCTTTGAAGGTCAGGCCTTGAATTTGGATTCGATAGCAGGCAGTTGGAAGCATTCCGAACAGAGGAGTAGGAGGAAGAAAACAAAATTAGGGGACATTCTGCCCCTTGCTGCTGAACCCGGATTGAAAAATACCAGCCTTATCATTTTCATAGAGCTCTTCAGAATGTCATAAAATACAGATAGCCTAGTGGCAGAGCAAAATACTTTGCATGCCCAAGGCCCTGGGTTCAATCCCCAGCATGAAAGGAAGGAAAAGGAGGCAGAACAAGAGGCCAAGGTTAACTTGTCAGGTGCTCAGCCTACATTGCAGTTGGCAAAATCACAAGCCTCAGGGTCTGCCCCTCTCCTGGGAAGTAGCAAGGAGTGAGGGAGCTGAGAAGAAGCCTCTGCCGGCTCTCTGGAAGCTGAGGGGGCTGTGTTTTGGTCAATTGCTTTGCCTGTCTTTGGGCAGTGCTTTAGGACACCGGAAGAAGGTGTGGGCATGCATATGTCCCAGGGAGAGCCTAAACCAGAACATTTGAAGGACATGAGGACACAAGAATGTAAAAATGCCACACAGCGGCTGAACCGTGGGTGGGGTGCAAAGACCCAAGCATTATTGCATCCTTTAATAAGCTATCAGCAAGCAATGTATTGATCCATGGCTTTCAGAAGCTGCAGTATTCCTTTTCAGCCTGTCTCACCATTTGGAATATCTTACACACGTTTTTGCTTCCTCTTAAAGAGAAATTCTGTTATTAAGAACACTGCCTCCAAGCTTCCTTTGGTATATCACATTTCTTTCTCACTCCTCTCAGATTTCAGGTTAGCAGTAATCTCCAATACCAGCAAAGCCAAGGAGATCTTCTAGTGTAGCCCCCCTCACATCATTTTTGACACAAACAGACTGAAGGTCAGAGAGGTAAAGTGACTTGGCCAAAGTCTCCAGCTACTAAGTGGTAAATAGAACTAGACATTCCCATAAGTTTCTGCTCAGGGAGACCAGTTTGTGCTTTTTTTTTTTCCCCTCAAGGGAAATAGCTTCCTGTTTTGGTTGTACTTTTCTAGACTTCCTCATTGCCTTACTCTCCCTTCCCCCACCTCCAGATTTCATTTAATTGTGTCCAAACAAGTACAGATGGCTGCTAGACAAAAATGGTTTGTCAGATACAGGAGTAGGAGGTAGAGGCATCAAGCTAGCCTGGTGCCTCTCCTTTGGATGACTCTCCCAGGTTTGTTTGATACCAACACCAGGGAAATCCAGCAGTAGACTTCCTGTCAGGACTAGTGAGACCTTCTGGAGCCAGAGCCCTTTCAGAGTTGGACTGAAGGGGAAGCAGGAAACCTGTGCATGCGCAGGCCTGGCTCTCCAGTCAGGATCATTTCTGGGTGATATGGTGAAGAAGAAGTGAGACCAAAGTTAATTAACTAGAAAAGCCACTATATTTCATTTAAAAAAACGGAATGAGCACCTCCTCTGTGTCAGGTGCCCACCAGGTGCCCAAGGATGCCACTAGGAGAGAGGCAGCCTCTACCTTCCTAGAATTTACAGCCTAGTAAGATCAAAACAAAGTTTTATTGGTTTGCTTTTTGAAAAGAACAAATGTTTTCTACTCACGCATCTGTCCTCTATCAGGTTTAGTCAGGTTGGAGTTCCTCTGGGACCTTTGAACCTCGTGTTTCTGGTGCCAAAGTAGTTCTGAACCTTGGGCTTAACCAGTAGTTTGTTGGTAAATGTTTAACAACTGGCTTTCTCAAAGGAAATGTGTGTATGTGTATACATAAGTTAATTATAAATTTTCCTGATAGAAAGGATGTATAGTACACAAATTACACATAGTAACATATAAAATTATTTATTTTAAATTTCATATAGCCAACTGATTCTCACAGAATGCTTTCACTGATTTATTTTTTATTTTTGGATACCGAGGATTGGACTCAGGGGCACTCAACCACTAAGCCACATCCCCAGCCCTATTTCATATTTTATTTAGAGACAGGGGCTCACTGAGTTTCTTAGGACTTCGCTAAGTTGCTGAGGCTGGCTCTGAACTCACGATCCTCCTGCCTCAACCTCTAGAGCTGCTGGGATTACAGACGTGTGCTACCATGCTTGGTGCTTTCATTGATTCTGAATGTACATTTTGTACTTTTTATTTGTGTGTGTGCATGTGTGGTACTGGGGGTTAAATCCAGGGGTGCTCTATCATTGAGCTACAACCCCAGCCCTTTTCATTTTTTTCAAAATTATTTTCTCACATATTTTATTGGTGCATTATAGTTATACATATTGATGGGATTTATTGTTACGTGTACTTACGTGCACATAATATATTTCATTTTATTTTGAGATAGGGTCTTGCTAAGTTGTCTAGGCTGGTCTTAAATTTGTGATCCTCCTACCTCAGCCTCCCAAACTGCTGGCATTAACAGGCATGCACCACCATGCCCAGCTCTTTCATTGATTTTTGCCCAGCTCTTTTATCTGTTGTTGCATTTGATGAACAAATGTAATTCTGACATGAATGTTGGTTGATATTTTCAATTATATGTGAAACAATGAAGAACCTCATTTGTTTGTCAACAACATAAATTATTTCTTTGCTAAATAGGTTAATGATTTTTAAACACTGGAAGACCATTTCCTCATATTTTTGGCATTATTCACAGTGTAACATCTGCAGATATGCCACACCTTTGAGTTTAATCTGTATTATTAACATTTTCCCCTATCCATTTTTCAGGTCTAGATAGTCAGCAAAACAATAGACTAGGCTCCAATTAGTAACATTTATTGGTTTCTGAATTGTAAATACTCCCACCCTAGCTGATTTCAAACTGCCAACTTCAGCATGATGTTGTAAAGAGATACAATCGCACACTATTTCATATAGCATTTCAACTATACAGATATCATAAATGAAAATAATCTCAAGAGCACAGATAATAATAAGATATAGTAAAATGACTAGAAAGTGATGAGTTTGGAAGCATCCATTATCTTAGATTTTAATAGAATTTACTTAATTATAATTTTAGGCATTTTTTTGTGGTGCTAGTGATGGAACCCAGGACCTTGTGTATGCTAGGCAAGTGCTCTTACCACTGAATAATATCCCCAGTAATTGTGTATTTCCTTAGCAAGATTTTAAATTCTAAGCCAGGCATGTTGGCACACACCTGTAATCCCAGGAACTTGGGAGGCTGAGGCAGGAGCATCACGAGTTCAAAGCCAGCCTCAGCAATTTAGTGAGGCCCTAAGCAACTCAGTGAGACCCTGTCTCAAAATAAAATATAAAAAATGGCTGGGGATGTTGCTTAGTGGTTAAGCACCCTGGGTTCAATCCCCAGTATGTATGTATGTGTGTGTGTGTGTATATATATATATAAATTTTATTTTGTGCATTGAACTACCCACCAAAAATCCAATCTAGGCAATGACCTGAATATAATTGTGTATTTTAAAATAATTGCTGTATCAGCTAGGTACAATGGCACATGTCAATAATCCCATCAACTTGGGAGGCTGAGGCAGGAGGATGGCAAGTTCAAGGCCAGCCTGGGCAACTTAGCCAGATCCTGCTTCAAAATTTAAAAAGCGGGTAAGGATGTAGCTCAGTGGTAGAACACTCCTGGGTTCAATTCCCAGCACCACAATAAATAAATTAATAATAGCTGTGTTTAACAATTGGCTCACAAACTTTCTGAAAATGTAGCATCTGACTGGGCGTGGTGGTACATGCCTGTAATCCCAGCAGATCAGGAGGCTTAGGCAGGAGGATCACAAGTTCAAACCCAGCCTTAGCAACTTATCGAGTCCTAAGAAACTTAGCATTAGGGTCTCAAAATAAAGTAAAAAGGGCTGGAGATGTGGCTCAGATGTGCCCTTGGGTTCAATCCCTGATACAAAGAAAAAAAAAGTAGCATCTGAACTTGAGGACCAGGAGAAAACTCCAGCACACCCAGCTGTATTTCCAGGTCCTGAATGGCTCTCATCCCTACTCTACCTCTTCTCCTTTTGTGGGGTGAGGGAGTATGGGGGATTGAACTCAGGGGCACTCCAACACTGAGCCGCATCCCCAGCCCTATTTTGTATTTTATATAGAGACAGGGTCTTACTGAGTTGCTTAGCGCCTCACTTTTGCTAAGGCTGGCTTAGAACTCGTGATCCTCCTGCCTCAGCCTCCCTAGCCACTGGGATTACAGGTGTGTGCCACCATGTCCAGCTCCCACTCCCCTTTGTCATTCATTCCCACAGCTTTGGATGGGAGCACCTGAATTCTAGAGCTAACCCTAACTGGCACCAAAGCCTCACTGCTACCTTGAATGACAACCCTGGGAATCTACTGGCAACAGTGACTTTTCCATGCATAGGTGGCCTGAGCAGGGATAGAAGAGAGCCAGGGATGCTTGCAGAGATTCTGGAAGGCACATCTGGCAAGCACTCAGGCCTAAAGGAAAGAGGGGAAATATCAAGGAGGAAGTCAAAGGGAGCTCTGGCTCAGTACTCTCTCCACTTGGCCCTGCTCCTGGCTGGGCCAAAATTAATTATTCAGGGCTTTTCTAGAAGGCTGGTGACACTGGAGACTAGAGGTTGTAGGGTTGAAGCTACTCACGAGAGTGATCCAGGGTTTGCCCATGGAGTCTACACTGGGATTCTGTTTCTTTTGCAGCAGGAATGGGGTGGCACTGAGACTTTGATTCTTTGGTTGGCCCTCTGACTGATCTGGGAAAGGACCAACCTTTCCTGGTGGAAAGCCAGCCCAGCATTCTGGCCATCCTATGTGTACAGGCCACGTAGGAACTCTTGTCTCCTTCCAGGCCACGTGCAGTTGTCTCTTCTCCTCAGGTAAACCTAGGCGACTTATCAGGCACGACTTCTCTGATGCAGTCATGGCCGTGTTGCCATGTATTGCTCTGATGTTATGACATGAATGAGTGTTCCGTGTTGGCACCTCGGCTGGCAGCTCTCCAAGGGCACAGTCCTCAGCCCCACCCCACCCAGCACTCTATAAAAACCAGCCCTCAATGATTGAATGAATCAGTAAGTATAGGCCTGGCTGACAGTCAAGATTTCTCATGGTGAAGCAGAAGCACAGTGAGGAATCCTGTGGGGGAGCCCTCCTCTTATCATCTTATGCAAGGAGTGTCCTTTATTATTGCTAACACTTGGGAAAGGGGAACCTCACCCCTACACACACATGTGCATCAATTTTTACAAGCCAGATCTATAACCAAGAAGTTCAGATGCCAGTAGTTTTCCTTCCAACCTCTTTTCCCTACCCCCGTGCACACTGTTATGCCCCATGTCTGGTGAAGCTGGCAGAAGTGCTGACTGGGACTAATTTGCTCTTGGCATCAGTCTAAGAACATACTGTGCAACTGAGAGGGCAGTGCTGCCCTCTCTGTAACACACAGAATGGGAAGTGACCAGGGTGAGGACATAAACATTAAGGATTTAATATGCTCTGAAAGGGGAGGGCTCAAACCTCAACAGAACCTTGCTGCCAAGCCCTATACCCCAGCATTCACAAATGTCTTGCACAAGCTTTCTGAGGGCACTTTCACTGGGATTTGGAAGAGTGGAGACCTGCTATGGTGACTATAGAGAGGCATGACTCTGGAGTTTCAGTAGTGGAAAGTCTCCAGGCCCATGGTTTCTCTTGTCCTCTGTCAACAGGTCCTGGGATGAAGGACCTGTGAGGGTACCTAGCTTGGAAGTTCTGGAATTCACATGAATGTGTGCAAGCATGCATATACATACACACATTAGAATCTTTCTTTTTAATTAAATTTTTTTTCTTTTTGTAGTTGTAGATGGACAGCATACCTTTATTTTATTTGTTTATTTTTATGTGGTGCTGAGGATCAAACCCAGTGCTTCACATGTGCTAGGCAAGCGCTCTACCACTGAGCCATAACCCCAGCCCCACATGTTAGAATATTTTTTAAGATATTGTTTAGTTGTCAATGGACCTTTATTTTATATATTTATATGCAGTGCTGAGAATTGAACCCAGTGCCTCATACATGATAGGCAAGCACTCTACCACTGAGCCCCAGCCCCAGACCTAGAATCTTAATACTCTCTTTCTATACTAGACATTGTTCCTGAGCTCCAGACCCACATCCCAATCCAAGTGTCTCCTAGACAGCCCCACCTGGATGTCCCCCAGGAAATGCAAATTTAATACACCCAACAAAACATATCCTCCTTTCCTTTCCCCTGGAGCCCATACTTTGTCTTGCCCAATGATCCCTTTCTCAACAGATGGCACTGTCACTCACCTAGTTGGCCAAGCAGGAAACCTGGGCACACCCTTATCTCACATCTGCAGATGTCTACTCACCAGATTAGGCCTGTTCTGTCCTTCACATAGTCACTGCATGAGCCTAGCCCTGCGTTCTTGATCATACACTTTAGGTCAGGCCATCATCTTAAAAGTGCAACAATACCCACTTAATGAGGCTTCTTGCCTCCAGTTTCCCCATCCTCCCTAGCTCACCCCCCAATCCACTTTCAACCCTTTAGACAAACTAGTCCTAAATGATATGCCCAAGACACAGGAAGAATGCCTGCCTGCCAAACAGTTCCCGTATTTCAGTCAATTCTGGTTAAATATATGCTGCCATATCAACTAAGAGTCTAGCTTAGCTGATTCACCCAACTGGCACCAGATTTTCCTTGGTTGAAAGGAAGGAATATAAAAGAAGTGTTGACACCAATGAGGAAGTCAGGGAAAGGCCCAGAATAGGGTGATATGCATGTCTAAGGCCAAAGAGGAATTTCAGGGAAATGGCTTCAAGAAAAGGGGTAGGCTGAGTGGCTCCTGAATGGACCATCCAGGAGAAAGCACTGTGACCAGGAAAGCTGCTCCTACAGTGACTATGCCTCCTTCTCAGGAGTTGTCTGTGAGTGAAGTCAAGGACTAGCTCAGAAGGAATGGTAAAAGCTCCCACCCAAGACCTGTGTCCTGAAGAGTTAATAGAGTCCACTTTTTTCCTCTGGCTGGATAAGTTCTAATTCTTCCCAGAGTCTGAAGGAGGCATTCCCCTTACTTGGTAAGGCCTTTTAAAGCTCATTTCCTGACTTCCATCCTCTAGGCCATCTGGAGAGTTCACTGGAGATTCGTTATTCACCAGCCCCTCCGTGACCCTGCAAGGTGAGATTGAAGCCCAAGCCTTTTCACAGCTGCCCATGGCACGTCCAGGACACTACCCCAAATAGCCGTCAGGATGCTGACACTTCTGGACTTCTTGTGCCCCAGTCAACTTTGTATCTATAGTGAGAAGTGTCCTTCCAACATAGGCACTCAGAAAACAACCCGTATGCCCATCCTACAATGTGCCCATTGTTTCTCCATCCTTGTGCTTCCTCAGGGGCCAACCCCTTTCCCTGAATTCATTTTTTTTTAAATTTTTATTTTAGATATTGATGGACCTTTATTTTATTCATTTATTTATGTGTGGTGCTGAGGATGGAACCCAGTGTCTCACACATGCTAGTCAAGTGCTCTACCACTGAGCCACAACCCCAACCCCCTCTTCCTGAACTTTTTTTTTTTTTAAGAGAGAGTGAGAGAGGAGAGAGAGAGAGAGAGAGAGAGAGAGAGAGAGAGAGAGAGAATTTTTAACATTTTATTTCTTAGTGTTCGGCGGACACAACATCTTTGTTTGTATGTGGTGCTGAGGATCGAACCCGGGCCGCACGTATGCCAGGCGAGCGCGCTACCGCTTGAGCCACATCCCCAGCCCTCTTCCTGAACTTTTTAAAAATGTTTTTTATTAATTGTTGATGAAATTTTTTATTTTATTTATTTGTATGTGGTGCTGAGAATTGAACCCAGATTCATGTATTATTAACATTTTATTGCATTTTCCTTTATCATTTAGGTGTGCACACTCTGGGCACATTTTATAGGGAGATAGGGATAGAAATATAAAAAGATATACACATATACGCACTTGTATATACAAGTATATATGTACATACATTTATATGTTTGTACTACATATATATACATACACATATGTATACATTATATACAATATATATATACACACGTTCTATATGTATATATTTATTACATATATTAGACACACACTTTTTTCTGAACCAATTAAGAGTAAGTCATATGAATCATGGACCTTTCCCCCTACACTTCAGTGTGTATTTCCTAAGACTAGCGATATCATCATCTGTAGCTAGAGTTATGTAAGTTATCAATTTCATAATCTAAAACTTAAAATAATCTACTGTCCCTATTGCAGTTTCATCAGTTGACACAATCATGTCCTTTAGAACATTTTCCCCTCCAGTACCAGAGCTACTCTAGGGTCAGATTTTGAATTTAGTTGCTCTTTCAAGGTAGCTTTCTTTAATTGGAACATTTTAGTAGCATGCATTTTTGTGTCTTTTATGACCTTGATATTTTTGAAGAACACAGTTCCCCCTCCTGCTAACATTTTTTTTTGGCAGAAAATTCTTCCTCTTATGTTTGCCTGATGCTTCCTCCTGATTAGATTGGGGATATGTATCTCTGCTGGCACACAGCATGGGTAATATGGTACCTTATCTGCAGGCTACCAATGTACATCTGTCTCTTGTCGGTGATGTCAGCTTTAATCACCAGTTAAAGGTAGTGCCCAACTCCTCTACTGTTTAGTTACTTTTTACCCTTGGTTGGCACATAGTTTGTGGGAGCTATTTTAGAATCATTGAAAACATCCTGTTCCTCATTATATTTTCCCATATTTAGCACTCATTGATACAGTTTTTGTCTGATCCAATCTTCACAAGTTACATTTGCAAAATGATGTTTTCAACTCCCAGGCTGCCTCCATTCAGATTTACCAGTTGGACTACTTTTGTTTCTCCACACCTGTTAAGTCCTCTTGGCTAACTCTTGTTCATCTTCCATCCTGGGCTGCCATAAATGGTGGTACACAACTACAGGTAGCACCATTCCCATTGTAGCTATACCCTGTGGCAGTCATGGATTAGGCTTATTTATTTATTTGTTTGTTTGGTTTTGGTACCAGAAATTGAACCCAAGGACGTTTAACCACTGAGCCACATGCTCAGCCCTTTTATATTTTTTGAGACAGGGTCTCACTAAGTTGCTTAGGGCCTTGCAAAGTTGCTGAGGCTGTCTTTGAACTTGTAATCTTCCTCGTCAGCTTCCCAAAGTTGCTGGGATTACAAGTGTGCACCACCATGCCCAGCTATGGATTAGATTTAGAAGAATTTCTCCTGGGAAGTTTTCCCAGAGTCCCCCCAATATCAGTCAGGCATTCCTCCTCCTTTTCCCCAAAGCTTTGTCTGCTGACCCCTATTGTCACTCTTGTTGCACTAAATGTAACTGTCCGCCTACTTCTCTGCCTTCATTTGGGATATAAGATCCACAAGAATCAAGTTTTTTTAAAAATTTTTATTTTCTGCCCTTTATCCCCAGCACCTAGCACAGTGCCCATCCCAGAGTGTGTGTTCAGCAAATGTCAAATCAATTAGTGAGTTTGTTCTTTTAGCTGGTATAGATATATTTATTGCGGAGCGAGGTGGGGGGCATTGCGTGGTACCAGGGATTGAACTCAGGGGCACTCAGCCACTGAGCCACGTCCCCAGTCCTATTTTGTATTTTATTCAGAGACAGGGTCTCACTGAGTTGCTTAGCACCTCATGTTGCTGAGGCTGGCTTTGAACTCGTGATCCTCCTGCGTTCCTGCGTCAGCCTCCAGAGCCGCAGGGATTGCAGGTGTGTGCCATTGGGCCCGGCTGGTATAGATGTATACGTCTATCTGACTTCTCTGGTAGAGGACAGAGTCCTTAAGGGCAAGGAGTATACTTAATTCATCTTTGTATCTTCTTCCCCTCCCCTCATTACTTGGCACAGGGCCTTGTTCATTATAGGCACTCAGCAAATGTTTGCTGAGTGAGTCCATATGTTTATTGGTTGTTAAGGATACACTTTATTTCCTTTCTACAGAACTGCACTAAACCACGTGTGGGCAAGACCTGAGCACCTGGGAAATGTGCCCTCTGAACCCCTGCTGTTCTGGCACACCTGGGCCCAAGTGTGAGCATGAAGAGAAAGGAATGCAACTATATGTGAACAGGGTCATTAGGGTTCCCTTAATTGAGGGTTTTGAAAACCTGAGTGAATCTCTGAGGATGATTGAGAGCTGTCCAGGACCCATCCTGTTCTGAATTCTTCCTGGATGACAGCCTCTGGCTTGCCCATAAACCTCCCCCAGCATCTCCTGGCAAAACTAAGCCAACTGAGCTAGGTGAGCTGATTTTACAAGTCTTTTTGGTGCTCTGTCACTTGGAAGGCATGCTATTTGTGTTGCTATAATGCAAAAAGGAGAGATCTACAGAGGAAGCCTAGGAAAGGTCAAACTGATAATCCTGCCCTTTGGAGAACACAGCAGCACCTCTGTGGTCCGGGGCACAGCATGCCAGTCTGGCCAAAGGAGCTCTAATGATGGAGTCCAGGTTGCTGGGCAGTGTTACAGGGCCCAGGCCCATTGTCATAGCAGCACACATATCTTTGGGGAGACAGAGATTTTACCCAGCCCTGCAGCCAGAAGGCACTGCCAGGGAAAATCTCTGTGGATCCTTCTGAGCCCTCTAGAGGCAGAGTATGGCCCCAAGAGCAGCCCCAGGAAAAAGTCAGTATAGTAGGAAATTTCACTGACAGAATCCTCCTTTTATTCAGGAATTTTAGTGTAGCTATGAGCTATTCTTTAGCTTTTTTCTCAGTATAAGAAATGTACCATACAGTTGGGCATGGTGATGTGTACCTGTAATCCCAGTGACTTGGGGAGGCTGAGGCAGGATGATTGCAGATCTGAAGTCAGTCTCAGCATCTTAGTGAGACCTTGTCTCAAAATAAAGTTTAAAAGGGGCTGGAGATGTAGCTCACTGACAGAGCAACCCTGGGTTCAATCCCCTGGTGCTACACACACACACACACACACACACACACACAAATACAATACAGAATCCAGCTTTTTCCACACTAGGAATAAAAAACAGCATCAAGGGGCCCAAGCTTAGAAAGAAAAATCCTTGAAACTTACAGCCAGGAAATAGATGAAAATGGATACAAAACAGGAGCCACTAACATGGAAAATTATATTTTTATTTAGAAAGCACCAAGCAGGATGTGGTGGTACAGGCCTGTAATCCCAGTGACTTGGGGAGGCTAAGGTAGGAGGATTATAAGTTTGAGGCCAGCCTCAGCAATTTAGTGAGACCTTGTCTCAAAAAAATAGAAAAGGGGGACTGTGGTTTTGGCTCAGTGGTAGAGCACTTGCCTAGCATGTGTGAGGCACTGGGTTCGATTCTCAGCACCACATAAAAAATAAATAAAATAAAGGCATTATGTTTATCTATAACTAATAAAAATTTTTAGTATTTTATTTTATTTTTCTTTTCTTTTTAAACACAATGCCTTTATTTTTATGTGGTGCTGAGGATCGAACCTGGGTCCCGCCTGTGCTAGGCGAGCGTTCTACCGCTGCCACAATCCCAGCCCTAATAAAAATATTTAAAAAAAAAATAAAAAGGACTGGGGATATAGCTCAGTATAAAGCACCCCTGAGTTCAATCCCAGTATCAAAAAAAAATAAAAATATGGGGCTGGGGATGTGGCTCAAGCGGTAGCGCGCTCGCCTGGCATGCATGCGGCCCGGGTTCGATCCTCAGCACCACATACCAACAAAGATGTTGTGTCCACCAAAAACTAAAAAATAAATATTAAAAATAAATAAATAAATAAAATTTAAAAATAAAAATAAAAATTTAAAAGGTACTCACATAGCCCTTAATATATGCTGGTCACTGTTCTAAATGTTTCACAACCTGTTAACTCAATGAAGTTTCATAATAATTCCCTAAAGTATGTGCAGCTATCAGCCCCACTTTATGGCGGAAGAAATGAAGGCACAGTTAATTAACTCTCCTAAGGTCAACCAGTTGATAAGTGGCAGGATTCTAGCCCAGGCAGGCTCTGTTCCCTGCTGCTTCCCTGACTTTGCAAGCTGTTGTAACGGAGCAGTGCAAGGAGGGCTCTCTTACTCTTTCCTTTTCCTTTCTTCCTTAGGCTCTTTATATGGATCAAGTGCAGAAGTCCAACCCATCTCCCAATCACATTAGGGAAGGGGAGGGAGGAAGGACAGACAGAGGCAGTGGCACTGTCTGGATGCTTCTAGAAAAGCCAACTC